TTAGGTACGCGGAGAAGACAGAACTGAATTCTGTGAGGAAGCAGAGTCAGAGATATGCCATGGATCCACCAGAGACAGACGCTGGGGATTTTACCCAGTAAGCCAGTGCCACGTGGTGATACACAGATTAATAGAAATGGGTTAAATTAATACAGTTTCTGTGTGGTTATTTTGGGGCTAAGCTAGGACGAACAAGCAGCCTGCCCCTCCTTTCAACATGTATGAAGTAATTTTTTTGGGTTTCTTACTCAGAGATCCATCTACTTCTGCCTCCCAATGTAATCCTATTTTACTCTTCGGACATCTCTTACACTAGCTAATGAGAACAAAGAGAATGATTAGAACCTCTGGATCAGAGATACACTTACCTATGCATAAGAAAGAGATCCAAGGTTGAGCCCCTAGCACTGCCAACCCCCTCTCCCTCTCAACTGAGAATTTGTTCCTAGGTAGTAAAGAATGCCAGCAATTTTTTCAGCTGCTAAAGTTATTCTGTCAGAGTCTGATATTTCTGATTCTCAAGGGTTTTTATATTTTTTAAGGACAGATGGACATAAGAAGTGTGCTTATAAATTCCTATCTGAAGAATAGTGCTGGATTAGAACCTTGAAATATTAATAGCTATAAACACCAAGTCCATGAAACATGCTCTAAGTAAAATTTAATTTTGTGATGTATCCGAGGTCACAGCCAGTACAAGCTTATGATTAGAACATGTAACACGTTTCTCAAATTCAGGGTTTCTGTGTTAGGGTGCATATTCAATACACTGTCTTGTGGAATTGTTGTGAAAATTCCGGGAATTAAATGTCAACACATTTACTTTGTGTGTGTGTGTGTGCACGCGCTTGTCAGGTGAGAGGACAACCAACAGAAATCTGTTCCCTTTCCACCATGTGGGCCAGAATAGGGATCAAATGCCTTAACCTGCTGAGCCATCTCACTGGTCCCAATTCTGGGAGTTTCTCAGGTAAGATTATAAATTTGCCTCTTTAGATCTATGAATCTGGACTATAAACCTGATATTTTAACTTACTGCTCCATTCCTGGCATTCTCAATTTTCCTGGTTCTCAAGGCAAAATCTTGACCAATTTTACAGCAACCAGGGAATAAGCAAATATCCTCATAAGAGAAAATCTCATCCAGTTCCTATTACTAGGCCTAGTTTCATGCACAGAAGCATTACGGCATTGAGATTAAAAAAAAAAAAAAAGCACTTAGGTGGTGCCCTAGTGTGCTTTCTTTTTTCCTGTGATAAACATCAAACAAGCAACTTGGAAGGGAGATAAGGAGTTATTGCAGTTTCTACTCCCAAGACACAGTCCATCAGTAAGAAGGGCAGGCAGGAATTCAAACAGCAAACCAGGAGGAATGCTGGCTCACTCTGGGTTATACTTAACTAGCTTTATAAAAAGCACTGCCTGGGGATGGAAATGCCTACAGTGGACTGGGCCCAACTGTACAAATTAGCAATTAAGAATATTCCCCACAGACATGCCCATAGGCCACCCTGGTGGAGGTTTTTCATTTCTAGGAGACTCTAGGTTGTGTCAAGCAGACAAAGCTAACCAGCACAGATTCTCAGTTCAGTAACTTATCAACATACATGGCCTATACAATTACTGGCAAAAAAACCCCAACAACAAAAATTCTTGAGTCTTCACTAAATTTGTTTCAGAATTTACTTCTAACAATAATAAAAATCTGCAAAATATCAGCTACCATGAAAAAAATCCCTTTGATAGCTAATTAAGCATAGTATAGCAACTTTTATATTTATTTTATTTTTTTTTGAGACACTGTATCTCTGTGTATCTCTGGCTGTTCTGGAACTCATTCTGTAGATCACGCTGGTATAGTAATTTTTTTTTTTTTAAACCGAGACAGGGTTTCTCTAGCTTGGTCCTGGAATTCACTCTGTAGACCATGCTGACCTCGAACTCAGAACCAGATTTGCCTCTGCCTTCTGAGTGCTGGGATTAAAGGTGTGCAGCCAGGCCAGTAACTTTTAAAAAACAAGAGAGTCTAATAAAAATTTCTAACACCCCTCAATGTTCTTGAATATGACTTCAAGTGGTTTCATTTTCAGGTGATTTATCAGGGCTGTTTTCTTTTGTTGTTTTAAATGTATAGGTGGAGTATACACAGTCATGTGGGGTGCATGTGTAAGTCAGAGGTTTGAATCTAAAACATTGACCTTAGGAACATCAGCCACTTCTAGACAAGGTTTTCCATTGGCCTGGAGCTTACCAGTTCAATGAGAATGGCTGTTCAGTAAACCTCAGCACCTGTTTCCTTTTCCCAATGAGGAATTTCAAGCACATGCTCCCTCAAGGCTCTAATAGTGAAAGTGTGACACTTAGGGCCTTGAATCCCCCAGAGCTGAAGGCCATTCTCTAAGCTATCTGGGCTCTAGTCATCCCGAATCTGTGGGGGGTATAAGCAACTTCCCTCATCCCATCAGTCATCTCTTCAATGGCTTCCTTCATCACTAATTTTAAGCAATAGTAGTCTAGGTTGAATTTTCCATCAACTGCTCCTTTAGAGGGAATAGCCTAAAGCCAAGCAATTTTAGTAAACGGCATTGCATTTTTGTTTGCTATCTGGCTAGAGTATCAAGAAACCTTGCAGTTTCAATAGTTACAATCTCAAAAACGTCCTGTAATCTGATGTAATTTAACACGTAATGGGAGTATTGTAGTCCCAAGCCCTGTTCATCCATCTTTGTGGCTGGACTATAATACTGAATGATATGTTCTGGGGCTCATTAACCAGCCTTTCAATTCCTGACTGTGGAGCTTGTGATTTGTGTTTTCCAGTCCTCATATGCCTGTATTCCTTATTCTTCACGTCTATAACAAAGGACAGAAATGACCTAGGTGGATGGACACAAGGCCTCAACCAATTTGGGTGAAGCACTGAACTGTTCTCTCACATATCCAATGTAGTCCACAGGAGCTTGCCATTCCACTATCACCCCCAACTGTTCTAGCTGCCCAAGAGGAGACTACTAGGCTGGCAAACAATACAGCAGTTTGAGCTACTGACTTATTCCTTGGGCAGCTCCCAGCTTTGCCTCTTGGACCACTTTATGATTTCCTGGGAGACTGAAGTACCCTCTGGTATTCCTAATCATGCAGAATGGCTAATCTTTTCGGAATGGTATAGCCTCTAAAAGTTCCCTGATTTCCCTGGCACATTGTCTCTCCTTCAGAACTACCAGGCCCCTTTCATTATATAAGGCCCTGTGTACAGAGTTAGAAGGCAAAGGCTCTGTACTTGGATGCTTATCCCAGCAGCCAGCGGAAAAGCTAAGGTCTGTTCTCTATGCTCAAGTCCCCTTGCACAGGTTTAGCAACAGTGACAGCATTAAGTGTTACCATAGAATAACCAGCAAAGGGTTCACCTTCCTTGACAGTTACTGCCATCAATGAAATAGTCTACACTGGCCTCTTTATGAGATTGATCGGGTTGGAGAGATGGCTCAGAGGCCTGTTCTTCCAGAGGTCCCGAGTTCAATTCTCAGCTCACAACCATCTCTAGTGGGATCTCATGCCCTCTTCTGAGATAAAGACATAGAGCACTCATATACATAAAAAAAAAATAAGTAAAACTTACAAAAGTGGTCCATAAGACTAGTTGGAAAACACTAGTCATTCCTTGAGGTCAATGACCAACTTGATGTCATTCAAGTTGTGCTCTGGTTCATCTGGCCCAACAGCAGCGAACTTGAGGGTTTAAGTTTTGTAACACCTTCAAGTGAAAGCCTTCCTTGGTGTCTGATGACCCTGTCAATACTGACCCTTAGATACAAAGTCATTTCTTCCTGAGGCACCCAGATGTTTAAATCCTAGGACATGGCCAAGTTTGTCAGTCTCTGCCACTAGCAAGCAGTATAACTGCTGTGACTGCTTGAAGGGCCAGCCCTAAAACAAGAGTCTAGTTGTTAGGACCCGAACATCTACATCAAGAATCCTACTGTGGTACGAGGTGTTCATGCACATACAAAATTGAAGGCTACACCGTGTGCAACCCAAGCCAGGCCCTTTATTTAGTAAGGGCTTACTAGATCTCTTTAAAGGCTCCTGGTTGAGATTTTCCCCACAGGAGTGGCTAAGAACCTTTGAAGATCTTTGCAGAATAGTAGTATTGGTTGGACCCCTGTGCTTTTAAACCTGAATGCATGAAGTTAAAGGGGGCAGCTCTGGGATGGTTTCCAGTGACTCTAGTAGCCTTGGGAATATATGCCCTCAGATGGAGTTTCAGCTGCAGCAGGAATGGATGGTACAGGTGCTGATGGCACTCTGACAACAAGGGGCACAATTCTACAGAACAGGCTTCTCAGGTTCTGGTCTACATTTTGAACTTTTATCTTTGCTAGTATGATTTTTATAATTTTCCTCTAATCAGGCTTGCAACCACTGGACAGGAAAGAACTGTGTATGTCTAGCCAACATGGACTGGCTATACATCCCTATAACAACTCTGAACACACGAGAAGGGCAGGGAAGGGAAGAGGATGAACTTTTGCTCTATCCATTACTAGCCACACCCTCTTGGGGATGTTTCAAGTTCCTTAGTCTTAGTGGGTCTGAGCTAGAAATCTCAGCATTGGGACACCAGTAAGGCCATCCTAGACTGAGGACCGCAGGGAACTGGAGTCGACTCAGCTAGTGCTTTGACCTGTGTGGCCCAGTTCCTTGTCCGACTCATCCAAACAGTCTCACGCATTTCCAGCCTAGCACGCTACTGTAGAAGTCCAACCTGTATGAACTACTTGGCAAGTCCTGGGCTTCCAGGAAGTGGTCAGGCTCCTCTGGTTCCTGGGATTTATCAGGTTGTGACGTACACCAGGGGTCTCTGCCCTGGCACGGCAAGATGGGCACCATGACTAACATCCTGGTGAAAAGGAAGGTAAAATAACCATCACCAAATTACAGGCAGAAATCCCACCAAGAAATGTGGGATTCTGAACAAAGAGACGGGACACAAAGGCATCTTCGGTTAAACAGTTTTTATTTGTGGTTGCACAGATTAGACTGAACTGTTTACAGCCTTTTGCATGATATTTGTTTCTTTGCCTTCCATACGTGGCAACATATAATTTCATTGGCTATTTTAAAACCATAGGAGACTCTGAAAGAGCTAGAATGAGGAGGAAGTAAGGGCTAACGTACAAGGTCACACACAGGCATTTTGGCTTCCTCCAAGCTCTACAGGAAGGCTAGCCAGCAAGTGCTGAGAATCAGCGACTGTCGAGTGCTCAGCTCTAAACAGCACATTCACATAACCCACTTCAAGGCTCAGGGCACATCACAGAAGAGACAGAAAGAATCTAAGTGCCAGAGGAAGCCAAGAGATAATGGAACACTGACCTGGCTGTTGTACCCTTGAACTCATGATAGTTAAGATTATCTGTACAGGATTGGGCCTGTCAATATCCTGTTAAAAGAGAGTGTCTCATGGGGCCTCGCTCCTCCCTGAGTATTCAAAGAGTTAACACCTGATACAGGAAGAAACATCTTCTTCAGGAGTGTGCCCATATACTTGTCAGCAAAGCCAAGGAAACTTACTGAATGGGAGAGGAAAAACTCTTGACCTGGGGACAGACAAAAGAACACATCAAAGTAGAAGTAGGGCTGGGTGGTGGTCACGCAAGCCTTTAACCCCAACACTTGGGAGGCTGAGGTAGTTGGATCTGAGTTCAAGGGCAGCCTGATTTACAGAGGAGTTCCAGAACATCTAAGGCTACACAGAGAAGCTCTATCTTGAAAAAACTGGAATCTTAAGGTGGGTGTGATGGCCATGGCCTTTAATCCCAGCAATTAGGAGGCAGAGGCAGTTGGATTTCTGTGAATCTGAGACTAGCTCCGTCTATTAGGTCTATTATACCTGAGTTTCAGGCCATCCTTTCAAGGCTATTATACAGTGAGAACTTATCTCAAAAGACAACAAAAAATAAAAAACATCTTTAATTTATGTTCATTTCTCAATCTCAAAGTCCTCTAAAAATCTGTAGAGGGCAAATGCTCCATAGGATTCTTGTGTGCAGCTGAGTCTAGCAACTCTGACAACACAGGCCTCCTAACTTTTCTGACCTCATCTTTTACCAGGCATCCTTTCCCAACTGGTCTACCATCTGAAACAGCTTTTCTCACTCTTGCTCAAAATCTTCCATTTAACTAGCCCTAGGCTCTGCTTGCTTAAAGGAATGTTTCTTCAATGTCTCTAGAGCTGACTGTATATTGAACCTCCACTGATCTTTCACCAGAAGCCATTATTTAAATCTTTAAAAATAACCAGCTGGGCATGATGGTGCACACCTTTCATCCCAGCACACAGAAGGCTATGGCAGTTCCAGGACATTTGGGGCTACACAGACAAATAATGTTCAAAAAACAAAAATAAGAGAAAAAAACTCTAATTGTTTAAATCTTTTGAAGTATTCAGATTAACTCTCCATGTTTAATTATGTTACTTATTTTATTCACACTAAGCTCCCTAGGGATAGCTCTTGGGAGGAATGTCATTAAGCAAGCCAGATCCACTTTAATCCCTACCCTGCAATATGCTGTCATTCTAGTTTGAATTACTTGGGAATGTAAACTATCATTCATGTGGTCATAAAACCAACAGCAAAGTCCAACAGGACAAAAGATCATCCATGTAGATTCTAGAAAGAATGCTTTAAAAATACCAACAATAGCACCTGTTCTGGCTTTTGAGCCCAGAGCCTTGTGTATGCCAGGTAAAGCATTCTTACAGCTAACACTGACATCCTTGATGCCCAAAATAAAAGTCTGATTAGAATTATGTAATCCCCTCCAAAATTCAATCTTTTGGGAAGCAGCTATATTCAACCCAGTTGAATTAATTCTACTTCTCAACATATACCAATGCTTTTACAAATAAACTGTCTTCCAAAAAGTTACACAAGTTACACACATACACATACAACACGGCCAATATCTTATTCACTTAAGGACGAAGTAAAATTACAAACCAGAACCAGAACTTTTCAGCACAAGTAACAAATCTAGGTCTTCTAGAGCCGGAGCACCTTGGTTCTCCCCACAAAAGTCAGGGTAATTCTGAAAGACAAAGATTGCATTTTGAGCATGCTTCACCTTCGACCCAGAACATACACTGTTATTTAAAAACTATTTTGCCTATGAACTCTCTTCACCAATACAAACTTTCTACATCATGCTTTTTTAAATGGAGAGTAAAAGAATTAAGCAAAACACAAAATGTTCAGTGTTCTGTGATAAAAACATTAATAGGAAGCAAGGATTATTAATGGGAATCATTGGATGCTGTGGCAGGAGGTCCTCTGAGCCCCAGAATTTTGAGACTGGCCTCAGGAAAAAGTGAAACCCTAACTCAATTCAAAAAAAAAAAAAAACCCAAAAAACCCAGCAATTGTAACGACATAAGTGGGCAAGCAATAACTAAATATCCAGGGCCGAGGAGATGATTTTGCAGGGAAGGGGCTGCTAAGCCTGATGACTGAGATGAGCCCTGGCACCTTCAAGGATGGAGATGGAGAGATTCCACTCTCCCAAAGCTGTCCTCTGACCACCCAGATACTATACGACACATGCACACCATCCCCTGAAATAAACTCTTAAAAAGCATAAAAGCGTCCTGACCTATTATTTCAGTAAGAATACTACACAGGGCAGCTAATTACATTCTCACTGGAATCTCTAAACGTCTTTCAAATCAGCTTATCCAGAGTTATTTCTTTCATTTACACATGACACAATGATCCATTAAAGGTCTAGGGGCAAGCATGTTGATACATTCTTTGTTTCTGTTTCTGACAAGGAATGGCCTCATGGCCCTAGTCTCCAAAGTGCTGGAACTACAGGGTTGCATTACCAGGCCCAGCTGATATATTCTTAATCGGGTTTTCTTTTCTTTTGTTTTTAAATTATTTTTTATGGTTTCTTTAACTTTATTTTATGTGCATTGGTGTGAAGGTGTCAGATCCCCTGGAACTGGATCTTCAGACAGTTGTGAGCTGCCACGTGGGTGCTGGGAATTGAACCCGGGTCCTCTGGAAGACCAGTCAGTGCTCTTAACCACTGAGCCATCTCTCCAGCCCCCTTAATTGGGTTTTCTTGATCTTCATATTGTGTGTGAAATGTATGACTGCGAGAATATGAGGCACCGAGGTCCAAATAATGATGTCAGGGGTCTTTTGTATCACTTTCTACTGTGTGTGAGACAGGCTTTCTGACTAGAACTTTAAGCTCATTGACTGGCTACCACTGGCAGGCCATCAAGGCCTCAGGGATCAATCTGCCTAGTCACTGAGCAATGGAGTTACAGGCATGCTCAACACATAGCTCTGTATATGCACACTGGGGATCCGAACAAAGGTTCTCATGCTTGTCCTGTTTGACTCATCCACTAGGCCATCTTCCCAGCCCCCAGTCCATATAATATTAACACACACACACACACAAAAATCAGTTAAATTATAAGATAAAAACTTGATGATCAAGAGAGAATGTGAAAACATTTTCAGAGAAGACTTACTGTTAGTTATAGTATCTTATTGTTCCATGTATTTTATATGTATGTATGTATGTATGTATGTATCTATCTATCTATCTATCTAGATCTATCCATCTATACAATTCATGTTTATACACATGTACTAGGCGCAAAGTAATCAGGAGTGATTAATACAGCTGTTAGTCCTAGCAAACAGATAATGAGTGTCAAGAAAGTGGGGTGAGAAGTATGTTAATGGTCCTATAAGGCTACCAGAGCCCTGACGGGAACCTACTCTTTGTGGGGAAAACATTAAGGAAGCCTCTAAGGTAGTAACTGGTTTTTTAGTATACCCTGTCAGTTTCTGTGTAGCAAAATGTTTGAATGCAGTAATACCTCATGTACTCCAGAATAAAAAATAAGAAACTTTTAGAGATTATTCTTATGGTCCAAGAAATCATTTCCAGTTTACTGTTTGTGCAGCGTGAAGATTATGACATTTGTAGGGACAGCAATTGCACAACTAGCTAGTAGGGAAGCTGGGGCGGGAAAGACTTCTGTGTCTAGGAGTACTGGGCCGGCTCAGGAAACAGGGAAACATTGTCTAAGTAGGGAAGAATAAACAGAAGACTGCAGAGATTTTTTGCATCCTCACTTCTGAAAATCTATTCCAAAGAAGAGCAAGAAGCCTCAAAATTTTAGCCACTGATATTAGTTTTTAGGCATTAACATTTTGTAAAACTCAAGGCTTGTCACTAGATACCACAGGAAAAGAAACAGGAAAGCTCTCACAAATTAAGGTGCATCAGCTGACGGAACATCTCACTGGAAGTCACCCTGTCATGCTGCCCATGGGCCTGCACCCAATCCCAGCACAACCAAAACTTTGAGGCATGATTCATCTATCCCAGATATCCATGGAATGTGCTTTATGGGCAAACTACTTCTGAGGTTCCTAATTTTTTTTTTTTTAGTAAAAAGTAAGTAACAAAATGAACACAACTTTATCTTTAAAAATAAAATCGTTTTAAAAATCATTCCGAGCCCTATGAATACAGAATAAAGTTTAATAATTTGGTGGAGAGACTACAAGAGATTTTTACTTTATTCGTCATTAATTTTCAAATGTAGAATGGGGTAAATCATGTATCTCTAAAACTGGATAGCGGAATTATCTGTGGGTGATTACCACCAGGGAGGATCAGAAGTACATTTTTCTTAAAAAACAAAACAAAACAAAACAGAATAACCACAACAGAAAACCAAAAACCTTCATTCCTAAACACTAATAGGACCTTTCTCAAAAGACTTTTCAAGAGAATATTCAGATTCTTGACTTAAAACCCTGAATGTTTTAAAGTCCATTTATGATAGCTGGGCAGAGTGACAGGGTCAGGCTGAGGCAGGGATGTCAGGTCAAGGTCATCCTTGGCTACTTCAAGGCCTCGGCAAGATCCAGACCAGTTTGAACTACCGAAATCCTGTC